ACACACACACACACACACACACACACACACGCACACGCACACGCACACGCACACACACGCACGCACGCACGCACGCACGCACGCACGCACGCACACACGCACGCGAGTAGTCTGAGAAGTGACATCAGAGGCACAGAAAAAAAAATGTTACAGTTTTCGACGGAGGCTTGTTTCAACAGTTAGGCGCGAACACGGCCGAGGAACGGGACAGTTGGTTGCAGGCGCTACAGCTGGCTAGCTACGAGTGCATGCGGAGCCAATTGTTGTCGTTGCGGCAGCGCATCGAGGCCTTCAGCGGGCACAAACACGATACCGACATCCATATGCTGCGAGTGCAACGTGGAATACTCACAGGTGTTGTACATTAGATCGCTATCAATCTCCGGATTATACATTTTTTATTTTACTTAAATACGCACGGCTTTACTCGCAATTTTAATAAATTAATTATTCATATTTAAACATGATTTATTTTTTAAGCTTAATTTTTGGTTGTCACACTTCTTTTTTTGAACGTAGTTGTCACACTGGGTCAATTTGATTAAGCTAATTTTTAATCACCTACTTTAAAAACTATTTCTAAAGTAAATTACCAAAATTCTGTTGTTTTGAGATAAAGTTTTAACTGTGTAGAATATATTTCTATAAAAAGTTATCATTTCAGATATCATCATGTTTTGTAAAAAATTTCCTGAAAAAAAGAATTTCGAAAAAAAGTTTGCTTAAAAAAATTACAACTTTTTACATTTTTAATATTTTTAGCTAAAATATTGGAAGTACAAATTAGTTCAGTCCGTTTTTTTGTGTTCAAAAATGCATTTATTTCAAAACAAAATGAATGAACATATTAATTAAAGTATTGTTCATCGCTGGCTACTACTTTTTCCCATCTCTCAGGCAATTTTCAAATTCCATCTCGAAAAAATGACTCGTTTTTGAAGACGATCCAAGTTTGGTGCCAATTTTCAATTTCTGCGAAAGAAGTGAACCGGTTACCTGCCAAATCGTGCTGCATCCTTCGGAACAAGCAGTAATCAGAAGCAATGTCCGGAGAATACGGCGGGTGCGGTAAAACATTCCATTTGAGCGTTTCCAAATATTTTTTTACGACTTTTACGACATGAGGTCGAGCGTTGTCATGAAGAAGAATAACTTTATCATGTCTTTGCTCGTATTTCGCCGTTTTTCTCGCAATGCACGGCTCAAACGAATCAATTGTAGCCGATACAGATCGCCTGTAATGGAATCGCCAGGTTTCAGCTCATAGTAAACCCTTTTGGTCCCACCAGATACAGAACATGATCTTCGAACTATGAATTTTTGGCTTTGGTGTTGATGTTGAGATCGATGGCAACGATTGACCGGGCTTAGCGTAATATTTTTTCTTCTTGGGGTTGTCGTAGAATATCCACTTCTCATCTTCAGTCACAATCCCCGATGCAAAAAACCTTTTCTTTGTTACCTTTGAATCAGCAACTCGCAAGTAAAAAGTCGCCTTTCAACGTCTCTCAGTTTCAGTTCATAAGGTACCCAATTTCCTTGTTTTTGAATCATTCCCAAGGCTCTCAATCGTACAGAAAGGGCTTGTTGAGTTACTCCCAATGATTTTGCCAGCTCTTCTTGCGTTTGACTCTGATCTTCTTCGAGTAACGCCTCCAAGTTTTTGTCTTCGAATTTTTTTTGGCTGTCCAGAGCGAGGCTTGTCTTCAACGCTGAAATCTCTATCCTTGAAACGTCGAAACCATTCCCTACATGATTTATCAGTTGGAGCATTATCACCATAAACTTCGACAAGCATTCGATGGGCTTCAGCTGCACTTTTCTTCCAATTAAAGCAGAAAATTAAAACCTCTCCCAAATGCTGCTTGGTTAACACAAAATTCGACATTTCAAACACAGTAAAAATCAACGTTTTTGTATGAAACTCAAAGCGAAATAAACTGAATATTATTAGCAGATATGTCTAACCTCTCTGAAACCGCCAAAATCAGTCACTATGAACCATTCACAACAGCCGGAGCCATTCCTTGGAAATGGACCGAACTAATTTGTACTCCCAATATATTATGACACTCTTAAGATATGCTACTTTAATAAATAAAAAAAAAAATAATTCTATACAGCTTTCAAGAAAAGGTTTTTGCATACTGAAGGAGGGCATTTTTTTGTGTTAAAAATCATGCATTTATATTAAAAAAAATATTTTTCTTAAATTTACAAAATAATTGTTTATCAATAAATAAAAGTATCTTACATTAAAAATAAATTATATAAAAGTATATAAATTTAAATCGCAATTACTACTTAGCTGCTCATTAAACGGTTAGGCTTCTGGATGCAGGTATTTTGTCTTTATTGAACACTTTGAATAAAATAAAAACAATTTTATATAAAAATGATTGTTTTTACTTTCTGATTATTTTTTTATACAAAAATAATTGTTAGATGTGTGATGAGGTGTCCTCGGGTTCGTGATAAATCAAATTGAATCGTGATTAACGGGCTCTCGAACCGGTTGCAAGGTGTTATGCATTAAATTCTAATGAAGTATGAATCCAAACATTTCGACTTTATTATTTAGTCATCATCAGTGGATTGTCTGGTATACATAGTAAAAAATAGGCGCAAATGATAACAAACAAATCATAATTTACAATGAAATTTTTTTGTTTTGATAAACTTACAATCTATGTTCAACATTTCTTTTTTAAAGAAATTAAATGAATTAAAAATAATTGTATTCAACTAAGAAATGAATAAGAATAAGATCATACGAGCCGCTTTGCAGGATGTTATGCTGAAATGTTCTATTATATATGTATATATATACATATACATATATATATGTTCACATGTAAATTTTTACACGTGTTTTTTGAATTGAAATTTCAATTCTTAAAATCATACAGTATGCTATACTTGCATCTCATGTATGAAAGACCCCGAATACCCCCCGAACTAATTTTAAAATATTGCGGAAAAATTGCGGGGTTTTTCATACATGAGATGCAAGTATAGCATACTGTATGATTTTAAGAATTGAAATTTCAATTCAAAAAACACGTGTAAAAATTTACATGTGAACATATATATATGTATACATATATATAATAGAACATTTCAGCATAACATCCTGCAAAGCGGCTCGTATGATCTTATTCTTATTCATTTCTTAGTTGTTACTTCAAGAGAGCCTTTAAGTTTCTTTATTAATTGTTAATTGTATTCAATTTGAAGCAAAACCGACGTCTTTGTCACTCAAGTCAATTTGATTCTCCAATGGCTGCCAAACGCGCGCTAACGCTTCCTCTCACTCACGAAGTATCTTTATTTGTAGAGAACACTTGAAATTAATGTTAGATAACATCACTAGTACCATTTTCAATGATGTCTTAAAACGAAAAGTTAACATTTTATTTCAAAATAAAATTATGTAAAAGGGGTTATTTTGACCCAGTGTAACAACGAAAAGTTAACATTGTTATATTTCATAGACTTTTTCGCCAAAATTCGATGTTCAATGATGAATTTAATAATTTAGAAAATTTCTGACGGTAATTATACGAGAAAAATATACAGATAATTAATGTGTGCGTGCGTGCGCGCGTGCGCGTGCGTGTGCGTGTGTGTGTGTGCAGTGAAATTATGTGTAATATACAATATGTTTTATTTCCCTGCCCTGGCTGCACTAGTTCACGGTCTATCTTTTTTTGTCTATAATAGAAAGAAAAAAATATACTGTGAACTAGTGCAGCCAGTGCAGAGAAATAAAACAAACCTATAATATATCATAATTATACGTAGTGTCCGATTTGTTGTAACACTGCTCGTAGACAAGTAAAAGAAGTTTTTCTGAGTGGAAAAGTCTTATATCACTTTGCAAGATTCGCAATAATTAACCATCAAACTGCAAACCAGGGTCATTTGTATTCGCACAAGATCTACTTGCGTTTATAACCTAATGACGAGAAAAAAGAGAGGAGTTTGACCTTGTCATAAAAACAAAGTTGTATAGAAGGGGGATGTAACGGCCAAATTTCAAATTTCTAGTACAATTTCGAAAGCCATAGTGACAAGACAAAATTGTAAGCGAACACGAACGATTCTGGTTTGCAAATTACGTACACTTTTCGTAACAAATAAGTAATTTGTTTTGTTTTTCATCTGATTTTCACATACATTTGCTCAATTTAAAGTGTAACCATGATATGTTTTATTAAACAAGTGTTTTTCGTAATAGTTTCAAAATAGAGCAGCTCTCTTCTGACAACCCTTACGAAAAAGAATTACTGCCGGCTGTGTGATTATTACATGCGGCCGTGTGATTAATATGGCGGCTCTGTAATGATCGAGGCGAATATTATTGTATCTGTAATAACTTT